TGGTTTCAGCCTGGGAGAACGTGGTGGGCTCGTGAGAAGGATTTCCATTGTGATGTCCCAGTCTCCACCACTCATCAACCATGCTCAGAAGCAAGCGTGAATTCAGCCTTAATCTCATAATTTATGAGTTCATTGAGCCAATACATACTAAAATCTCTGAGGCTAAACCAAACTGGTTTATTGTTTAAGATAAAATAAAAATTGCTATTTTTCATGAGCCCAAACTGCTATCAACTTTATTTGCCTTCCATGGCCAAATGGAATCTGCTCTGTATGTTGCAAGTTACCGGTGTTTGTCAATGTAATGCAGAATCAGATGGATGAAAAACATGGTGAGGATCATGTCACCAGGTTTAATCAGCTGGGCTGCTTAACACCGAGTAATTTTTCTTGGTCATCTGGCCTTCTCCCAGTCAGGCACCGCAGCAGGACAGGCATCGTTGCAGTGCTCTGCACCAGCCTCTGCCTGGCACCAGCCAGGTCCCACAGCAGTGAAGCTGTGCTCCACTGGGTTTCCTTGGCCTCACTTTTCTCATCAGCATTGTGGATGATTTGGGTCATCACTCAGGGTGCCTGAGTGACTCGTGTTTCCTACAGCCTCAGTTTCTCTTCTTCCATGTTCAAAAAATGAGACATATTTGCCTTCCAGCTTGATAAAGTAGTTGAAATGCTATGCTCATCAATGGACGTCGCAGATGTTCACTACATCACTTGACTTTTATGACAGGTGAGAAATAATAGGAGGTGATGGACTGCTTAAAGTGAAATAATTAGCTGGAATTAGTGGCCTGCTTGCCCTGGGAGCTCAGGCAGTTCCCCAGAGCAGGGGGATGTCCAGCTTCTTTAACAATCAGCCCCAGTACAATTCTTGTCCAAGCCGAAATGAGAAGATATATTTTTAAGCTGAACTTCTTCACTGTTGCAGGTTTTGACATGAATTTTGGCATCTGTTGGCAGTGTCACAGGAGAGCTGGCTGAGCTGGGGAGCCCCCAGAACATCAGGGCCGGGGGGGCACCCCTGTGACAGCCCAGAAAACAGTTCAAATTCATGTTAGTTTCAAATATTTGGCTCTAGAAATCTCTCCAGGCACCACTTTAATCCAATTTACAGCGTCTGGCTCAAGTGAAGTATGAGAAGAATTTGCTTAAGCTATTTGAGCGGCGCAGTGCGGCGGTGGGGAGCTGGGCAGGCAGGGCAGACGCCGGGCACCAAGCCCCTGTCCCCTGGCATCGTGGTGGCCCAGTGGCCAGGTGGGCTTGGGCCACCCAGGGCTGGGAACGGACCGGCTCTCCAGCAGCTAGGACAGAGTGGCAGCAGGTCGGTGGCAGACCACCTTTGTCCTTCCCCACCTTCTCCTTAAAATACTCAGGAAGGTGCTGTAAAAACCAAGTTGGAGACCTCACTGCTCGCACCCTTGAGTAACTTGCCAGTGGGGCATGTTGCTGTCATGCTGCCAGGCACCTCCCCAGCCCCATTGCCCAGCTGAGCTCTCAGAAATTTGGGAATGAGATCATTTTCAAATAGTTTAATCCACCTTTCCTTCCTGGTGAAGGAAAGAAAGTCTGAGACAGCTTTGCAGCAGCTCCGATGTTAATTGTTTTCCTCCTGCTCCCCTAAGAAATGTGTGTGTTGTCTTTTCCACTTTACAGCAGGGAAAAGGAAGATGCAGCATTTAAGCTTTGCCCCAGTGGAGCATGGTGCTGGCTGGGGTGGGACAACCTGGGGTCCTCTGAGATGCTGGAGTTTGAGTCACCACGCAAGAATCCTTGAGGTAAGGAGAAAAAATTCATTTATAGCTTTAGCTCTTACTTTGTCCCTGAAGTCTTTGCAATATCCTGGCCATTTATAGAAACCAATGAACCATGTCATCTGAATATGGGGCAGTTGCAGGGAGAATTGGAGTGGTGGTGATTAAAGACAGAGTCCAGTTGAGAAAGTGGTGGGAGAGCTCAGTGCTGTGCTCCTGTGGGAGAGCAAAGTTTGCCAGTGCCAGGGAGCGGTGCCATTTGGAGACGGGGCCTGGGAAAGGCAAGTGAGGATGCCAGGCTGTGCTGGGGTGTCCTGGCTGGCCATTGCAGTGGTAAAGAGCTGGTCTCGCTGGGACACACGTCACGAGGCTGGATGGTGACCCAAGCACGTGCCATGCCCTGCTGTGGGGACGATGCCGGAGAGCACAGCAGTGACCACATCTCTCCCCAGGCTCTCAGCTGCTCAGCATCCTGTGGGAAACCCCACCGGCCCCTTCTCCCCCAGGCTCTTCCCTTTGGGGTTTGAGGGGTTCTCTTGCCACGCTGAAGTGCCAATGGTGTGTTGGGGAGCATGAGCCCAGGATGCATGGCTGGCTGCTCCTACCAAGTGACTTGGTGCTGGCAAGGCTGTGCTTACCAAGACCACTTGCCATTTTCCTTGTGCCATTTCTGTGTCTCTGCCTTGGCCCTGCTGCATACAGATGCTGCTCCTGCCCTTCTCCTTGGCCAAGGAGTGACCCCTTGCTTTCAGACATGACGTGGAGGGGGAAAGGCAGATGTAAGTTTTGGTCCAGACCAAATGGAAGGGAGGGAAGACCAAGTAAGCTTGTTACTGCTGAAGTTGTGCTGTTTACCATGGTAGCATCCATGACTTGGGCCAGCAGAGAGGTCTCAGGGGTGGCATCATCACCGTGAGGTGGGATCTTCCACTTCTCCATTTTCAGAGTTTCTCACACTGGGAAACCGAGGTGGGGCCAGCATCCAGCCGCTGCTTGAGGACTTGTTTGCCCCGGCGGGGCTGGCTGTGGCCACCACAGCACCTCTACCAGTGTGGGCAGAGACTGCCTTCCCAAGAGCCACATTGTGATGCTGTGATGAAGCTGTAACATGCAGACCCTGTGTGCACCCATGGCCCCACAGCACAGTGCAGGGCAGCCTCACCCCAGCCCCATAGAGAAGCAGTTTGCCCTGGCACATGATGGGAAGCAAACCTCCTCATGGCTGTGGCACAGCCGCGTGAGCTGGCCCAGGGTCCACTTCTGCAGCCAAAGCAGTTTAGCTGCCTCCGGTGCAGTTGTACATGTATTTTATGGCCATCATCAACATCTTTCCTGCCTTTAATTCAGAGGAGGGCTTGGGGAATAATTAATTCATTAGAAAATATTGTTGTGCGAATGCCAAGGTAAGTAATTTTATCTTGCTAAATATTCCATTCCAGTTAATGCTTTTTTCCAATTTCTGAGAAGGATGCTGCTGTCACTGGGGTGATGTCAGCAGCGTTCCCACCCTCTCCGACAGCCCGGGCTGGGGAAGTTGGCCGGGCAGTGCTGAGCTGCCGGCTCTGCTTCGTTGGCAACACGTCCAGAGCTTCACGAAGGAAAATTTCCAAACATAATGGCAGCGCCGAAGGAGAGGAAAATTTCCCTGCAGCAAAGTATTCTGCTACTGTCAGGGCAGCACGGAGTGAAAGCAAAGGAACCTCAAGATGAGCTTTGGGCTGCGTGTGAAGGCTCTGATTATAAAGGCAGCCTGGATGCACCAGGCATTAACCAACCCCTCCCCCTGCCCAAACCGTAAGCCAAAGGATTTAAACAAGCTCTTATGTAACATGGTTTTAGTGTTTCCAGTAGAAATAGGTGTTCTAAATATAAATGATTTGCAGATAAAATAGGCTTATATAAAATGCTTTTACGTTTATATAAGCCTATATTGGCATTGCACCCGATGCCTCCATCACCCCTGAGCCCGGCGGCGGGGGGAGCCTGTGCAGTGCCAGCAGTTCAGGGCACGGGCTCAGGACTGTGCTGGCACCTGCAGTCACTGGTCAGTCTTCATCCTGTCCCCAGCCTGCCGGCGAGTGCCCCTCCAACGTGCTTGGGTTGGGGCTTCTCAACGTTTAACTCCCCTCCTTCTCCCTTCCAGGGGATTCCCTTGGAGCAGCAATCACCGGAGCCTCCTGCGGTGTTCCCATCACTGACAGCACCCCCAGTTTCTACCAGCAGCACCATGGTGGTGGTGATGTCCAGGCTCAGCAGCTGGAGGCTGAGTCATCATCCCTGGAGATGTAGAGGTGGTGCTGAGGGACATGGTTTAGAGGTAACTTGGCAGCACGGGGTTATCGGTTGGACTTGATGATCTTAGAGGTCTCTTCCAACCTAAACGATTCTATGATTCTATGGATGCTGCAGATACTGTCCCATGGGCTCAACTGCTTTGGTCCTGCAGACCAAGAAAGCTGTTTTGAACATTAAGAGCTGGAATTCCCCTCCATCCCCATGTGCACACAAGGGTGTGTGTATACATGTGTATGTGTATATTTATATATACATATCACATAGTAAAAGAGCTAACAGCCTCCAGCTCAGGGTTTGCAGCATGGCCTCAGGCTGCAGGCTCTTCCCAAGCTGTAGCCACAAGCCCAGTTAGTAGCCAGGAGCAGCTTGCCATTACAGCAAGGCCATCTGAATGCTTCAGGCTCTTAATCTCAGTATCTCCTTCACCACAGAGCATGCCATCAAAGGGTGAGCCATCCTTTGCGATGCTTCGGCCCGTGGCCAGATTCATCAAGACTGTGGTTGATCAAAGCCTCTGTGCTTCTCAGTACTGCTTCAGGAGCCGTGGCAGCGGCTACTAATAAGGCTAGTCACAATTAGTTTGGAAATAGTGTCTTCCAAGCAGAAAACAACGGTTGCTACGTTACAACCTTATGTATGGGAAAGATATTTAGTCTGATCTTGAACAACAGCCTTCAGTGCATCATGCCGAACGTTTGCTTTTAGGGGAAGGACTGATACTGAGTATTTTTAGCTACTGACATGTAGAACACATGCATAGAATTATAAATAAATATATAGAGATATATGCATATCTTGTTTATCCACACACATATATATTTTTATATATATGAGAAACAAGAATGCATTTTTTCAGCTACAGTGTATTTTTACAGCAGACCAATATGATTTATATCTCTTTGCCATTAACATTTCCAGTCAAATAACGCCTTATTTATGCCTATATTGGAGAAGCTCTTTTGACAACGTGGGAAGATGCTTTTTATTGTGAAGCCAGAACTGTCAGCAGCCTCTATTATTGCTGGTGGGACTGTCAGTTCTCCAAGTAACATGACTTCATTTTTAATCCAGGTCCGTTGGAAGACACTTGATCCGTCCCGCTTTTCTCACTCACAGAAGGAAAACTTGCCATAAAGAAATATTATGTGTGACCTTCAAAAGTGACTGTCGCCCTCTCTGTCTCAGTCTGCGCTCTATTTTTCATAGAAACCTGTTTCTGTGTTGCATTATGGGGGAAATAAGCCATTCATCTTTGTCGCTGCTGCTGTTGCTTCTGCTGGGGGAGTCACTCCCCGCGGGCGCGTGAAGAACAGTGGGTCAAGCAGCACTTGGGCAATTTCTAGAGGTGGACCTGCAGCAATCCATCAGTTGCTTCCCTTCTGGAAATCAATAGTCATCTATAGTACAAGTGCTTCTGACCCCTGAAAGTTATTAAATAAAGTCATGCACAGATTAAAAAAAAAAAAAAAAAAGATAAAAAAAAATAGTCCTGCAAAGTGTTGAGGAAGTGCTTTATGCCTCCCAGCACTGAGGCCACCACAGCAGCCCTGCCGTGGGGGCTGCACTGGAGCCCCAGGTCTACCTGCAGCTGCGGCAACGTGGGTGAGGGGCAGCAGCTTTTGGAATTTAAATTAGTGGCTGCCGCAAGTACAAGGAAGGCGTTTGGGACCTTAAACAGGAGGTGTCTATATAAGGTGTGGTTGTGTGAAGAACAGCATAACAGCATGAGCTTTACAGCCCACCTCACCAAGTTGGCCAGCCTGCTGCCACAGATTCCCTTGCCCCTTCCAGGCTGGTGGATCCCACCCCTCTTTAACAGGCCATATTCATCAAAGGATGTCCCATTGCCATCAAAGCCAAAACCCTCACAGCAGCACCAGCCATGTAGCCAGCAGCTGATTTGCATTATACACTTCACAGGCCCACGTCTGTGGGTGTGGATGTGGATATAAATATATATACACACATATCTGTATATCTATATTGTGTATGTATTTATGCATATTGCATACATATACAGATATATGTATAGAGACACCTTAAATGTATGTATTTTCTATACGTGCACATATATACACATACATTGTATGTATGTATATATACACATATGTATGTATATACATATTCTATACATGATTCTATATACCCATTGAATAGATACTATATACACTTATATATGTATAAATATACGTAGACACTTGCATGTATATATTTATATACACACATGTATGTATTTTTAGACATTACAATGTGTGTATACATATATAACATGTCCATATATACGTATATGTGTTACGCACTTAATGTTTATATACACACATGTGTATGTGTATACGTAATTTAAAGTTATACAATGCTATATAATATATATGTATATATAATGTTATATATTATACATGTAATATAACATATTTGTTGTTGAGATCGAGCCCCTGCTGAGGACCCTCAGGGGTGTAACTGGTGTGTGCCTCCCTCTGAAGCTGTGGGGTTTTATCCTGATCCTCAGCCCTGGGAGCTGGTGGAGCCCTTGGTTTAAGCAGCAGTGCCAGCACCCAGCAGAGACACCAAGGGTCACCATCACCTCAGGCTTTGCTGCCCTACCCAGGAGCCAGCACTTCCCCGCCTGGAGCAAACCAAGTTCTGCTCCTGACTTGTCCTTGGCATAGTGTCTGGCATTCTCGGGGGGGAGAGAAGCCTCTGTGGTCCTGAGCATACACAGGCGTGCATTTATTTCTCCCATTATAACTCTCTACTGTGGTTGCACTGGGAATTTTTCAATACTAATATAGAGGTATTATATATAGGGACTCTGAGGAGACCTTATTGCAGCCTTCCAGTGCCCTTTTCAGTGGTGCTCAGAAACACAACAAAGGGCAACAGGCACCAGCTGGAACACAGGAAGTTCCATCTGAACTTGAGGAAAAACTTCTCTACTTTGAGGGTGGCAGAGCACAGGGACAGGCTGCCCAGGGAAGTTGTGGAGTGTCCTTGTCTGGAGACATTCAAATCGCACCTGGACACGTTCCTGTCCAACCTGCTCTGGGTGACCCTGCTTTGGCAGAGGGGTTGGACTGGATGATCTCCAGAGGTCCCTTCCAACCCCTACCATTTTGTGATTCTGTAATTTCCCATTTTACAGCCTTGACTCTACAGCATCGCGTATACAGCAGTAGATATCTGGTGTCTGTTTCAGAAGCAGCTGTAAGTTTTCTCTGGAACTTTTAAAATAAGGTAAAAATGCAGCCTGAAGTGTTACGCTTACAAAGCTGCAGCAAGCTCTTTCCATACTGGGACTTGCACTAACAATTCATTAAGGAAACTCAATTTCAGTTACAGTGATTAGCCCACAAAAACTAAGTTTACCTTTGTACTGTTTTGCTATACTTCTGAGAAGATGTTTACTAAGGTGCCACTTTGTTTTTCCAGTGAGTATGAAGGAATAAATACTGAGAAAACTGCTGGAAGAATTTGGCTTATTTTTCCTGGTTCGAAGCTGGGTGAGAGGGCACTTCGCATGAGGATGTATATAAGACTATGAGCCACACTCATTAAAACTTAAGCCAAGTTAAGCAGCAGCTGCTGGCAGCAGCCCTTGGCAAGCCTCAGAGGTTTGGGTCGGACATCTCAGAGGCTCTGCTAGAGGCTGTCACTTGGCAACTTGCGAGCACTTTTCCTGCTGTGCTCCATTAGCTCTGCTCCTTCCCAGCCTCCTTTCTATTCCATACCCTGAACTTATAAAAAAGGGTGCCAGTTTGCTGCAGAAAGGCAGGGGGCTGGGGGGCGAGCAGCAGTGGCTGTAGGGGTGGATTGAGGGCTCCTCTTTACCTCGAGCATGTGGTGAAACCTCTTCTCTGGCAATCCCTGCAGGCACGGCATGAAATCACTGGATGCCCAGCACTTCTGTTGCTTTGCCACAGAGGTAACCCATTGGTGCTGGTCTCTCCACCTGCACATGTACATACATGTATATAGACACATTATATATGTATAGGTATACATGTGTATATACATAGATGCAACATTTGTACACACGTGTATAAAAATATATATAATATGTAAACATACATATATATATACACCTATATGTATGTATAAAACCTGTGTGTATACACTTATATATATTCATATGTGTGTATATAAAATATGAGTGTATATACATACATATATGTGTATGTGCACATAATATTTAAATGTATATCTATATCCTTTGCAGTACTTGCAGCTGGGTAGGAAGCACAAAGCTGGTGACTAAACTCTGAGTTTAATGTCTAAAACTGCAGATGGAAAAAAGAAGTAATTTTACTGGCAAAAATATTCAGGTGAGTATTTTTGCAGGCACAAACCAAGCAGTTTCTTGGTGGCCAGTGGCTGGGAGAGGACCGTGTGCTGGTATGGAGGGTGCTACTGAATTTGTGCTCATGGAAAGCTGACAGCAACGTTTCTGAGCTAGATAGACATCTCTGTTGTGAAGGCAGCTGAAAACAGAGCTGACCCTTGTTAAGGCAGTAAATCGTATGGTGTGACACGCATACTTCTGTTAAAGTAACAGCACCAAGCACCAAGAACAACCACTGGAAATTTGGCAACATCTAGTTTTCCATGCTGACAACGTGCCAGCCCACTCAGGCAGTGTGGGACAATTTTAGGAGATGAAAGACAGAAGATGAAATTGAGCTACACCCTCACGCTTTGTGTCTGGCGTGGTGAGAGGCTGGTCACCACGCTTGGTATCTGGCATGGTGAGAGGCTGGCCACCACGCTCCGAGCTCGGCAGGCTGGCTGGCAACCTATGGCTGGCCGGGTGCTGGCCACGCTCCTTCCCCTCATCCCCAGCTCAAGGGTGCAGGAGATGGTGCCTTGATTTGTGGATGAGATGGTCTCTTGCTCACCAAACAGCACTGCTTGCCCTCCACCAGCTCAGCCTGAGCTTCCGTCAGCTCCCGAGAGATCCCCCTCGCTGAGGGCTCCAGCGATACCCGCCGATCCCAGTTTGCTGAGGAGCAGCAATTTCACCAGCTGAAAAACAAAAACAGCAACAACCTCAGCTCCTGCTTGGCTCTGGCTGTTTTGGTAGTTTTCTCCCAAATGATTAGACCCCTTAGTGACTTCCAGGAGCACTAGCACCAGCAGGGCTGAAAGGGTTTGGCCCTTTACCAGTTTGTCCTGGGGGCATTGGGGGCTGGATCCCTACCCACAGCAGGAGCCAGCGTTACAGACCAGGCTGTATTCGTGGGCCTCCTTCACTATGTGACCTTCACCTCCCACTCTTTGAGGCTACACCTGAGGAATTTAGATTTAAATTAATCCTTTGGCACCATCAGGTTCAGGACTTCCACCCTGAAGACTGATGAGTGGCATTAAGATTAGATAGATTTAGGTAGAGTTAGTTTAGATATTAGGAAGAAATTCTTTACTCTGAGGGTGGTGAGACACTGGCACAGGTTGCCCGGAGAAGCTGTGGATGCCCCATCCCTGGAGGTGTTCAAGGCCAGGCTGGATGGGGCTTTGAGCAGCCTGGTCTGGTGGGAGGTGTCCCTACCCATGGCAGGGGGATTGGAACTAGATGATCTTCAAGGTGCCTTCCAACTCTAACCATTCTATGATTAAAATTAAATCCCATCAAGGAAAATACCAATGTCTTTGTTCCTTGGCACTCGTTCAGATCCTTCCGAAATTACTACCACAGTGCCGTGGTTCTCACTGCTCAGGCCCAAGGGGCTCATTGCCACTGAGCAGCTCATGAAGCTGGACCCACACTTAGCAAGAGGGCCCCAGGAGACATCTTCCAACCCAGGTTTCCCTGTGGTTCTGACACTGAAATAACAACACACAGAATTTCTCACAGAAATAACAACAAACTGTATAGAAAATTACCTGTGATAGATGGGGCTCCTGTCTTCTGCTGGGGTTTTTTGTGTATAACATGGTCACATACAGCACTTTCTTCTTTAACTATCTTATCAGGAATAAAAGTGACAGAGAAAATGAACAAGAGAAAAGTAATTTGCTATCAAAGACCCTGGCATAAATGAAGAACTGAATTGCAGGGCTTTTATTTAGACTGTCTTGCCTTTCTGGCTGAAGTCCCTGGGATCTACAAGCCCAGCCACGCTCACCACAGACAGCCAGAAGCACCCAAACCTCATGGTCACTTTTGAAATAGCAGCTGCATGAAAGTAACTTTAAAAAGAAAAGAAGAGAAATGAAGGCGCAACCCTACACGATGCTCAGGCATCGCACCCCTGAACCGAAACCCTTTTAAGAGGCATTGGCCTCTTAAACTTTGGGAAGATTGTCTCAGGATTTGGGCACAGATTTGTTCTGAACTTTGTGCCTCTCAGACATCCCAAACACGCCATTTAAACTCTGTACTAATCTCTGATCTTTCAGGGTTAATGATCAGATGCAACTTTGAAGCTGCTGAACTTGTGAACCAGGATGTGTTGGGAAAGGCCGAGGCATGCGAAGATTAGCTGGTTCTCAGGAAGCCAGTGTTAGCTGATGTGATGGGGAGGGCTGGCCTTTGGTGGGGATTTTGCTAACGAGGGGTGATGCTGTGGCTCCGCACCCCTGCACCAGCCCCTGCGCTTCAAGGAGTTCAAGCAGCTTTTCCCCCTTTGGTCTGTAGGCTTGTACAACGCTGTGAAATCAGCGAGTAGGCACAAATCCGTGGCTGCTGGGTTGTGCTAAATGGGGCTGAGGGTTTTTTTTCAGTTTGCTTCAGTTCAAATGAGATCAAACCCAATCATTTGTTACAACTTCTCTGCAAAGCAATGCTGCAGCCGGTCACCCAAACCAACCTAACCCACCACCTGCTGACCCATCCGTATTAATCTTTTAAAAGTCATACTTAACTTAGCATCGTGTTCCTCCTGATGCCTTCTCAATAAATCTAGATTTCATCACAGAGTGACCTAAACAAGAAGGGTAGTACCTTTAGAGTTGAGAAAACACTTGTGGAAGTTGAGGTGGTTGCGTTAAGCACCCGTACCTACACTTGCACTCACAATGCAAGTGTAGCTCTTTGGCCAGGCTTTTACAGGCAGTGATGCTCCTCCCAGAACGGCCCGAATGAAGGGCACATCTTCAGCCTGGCTGTGGACGCCCTGGCACTGGTGTACCCAGCTCAGAAGCTGTGGCAGTGCAGGGTTTGGCGCTGCTGCTGCTGGAGAGAAGGGAGAGCCGCGGGTCCCTGCGGGGAGGCTGCCGCTTCTCCTGCCGGCTGCCAGCGCCGCTGCAGCCAACAGCGACACCCCGCGGGCGAGAGAGGAAGGGCCGCCGCGGCGGGACCCAGGCACAGCGCCGCGGGACGGTCTGGGCTGGGATACTACTGTTTAACAATATATATAAAATTATATACATACACATTCACACGCGCAAACTGACTACATATATTCATTATACATACTGTATACATATAAACATATGTATAGGTGTATATATACACGCATACATACATATATGTGTATATGCATGCATATGCATAGCATTTATATACATATATGTGTGTGTATCTATACAAATTATGTGTGTATGTATATATCAGTTGTTTCCCCACGCGGCTCACGCTATTTATGGCACCTCGTCAGGCCCAGCAGCCGGTGGAAGGTGGCTCCTGCTCTCTGACAGCAGCGCCCCCCGCACCCACCGCCCGTGTCCCGCAACCCCCCGAGACCCCGCGGGGGCGGCCGAGCCCGGGGAAGGGAGGGAGGGAAGGGTGGAGAGAGGAAGGGGTGGAGGGAGAGAGGGAGGGAGAGAGGCAGGGACGGAAGGAGGCAGGGACAGAGGAAGGCGGGGATGAAGGGAGGTGGTGACTGAGGGACTGACGCAGGGACAGGGGGATGGAGAGAGGCAGGGATGGAGGGATGCAGGGATGCGGGGACGGAGGGACGCGGGGACGGAGGGAGGGAGGTGGGGATGGAGGGATGCAGGGACAGAGGGATGCAGGGACAGAGGGATGCAGGGACAGAGGGATGCAGGGACAGAGGGATGGAGAGAGGGAGGGATGCAGGGACAGAGGGATGCGGGGACAGAGGGATGGAGAGAGGTAGGGATGGAGGGGGGGAGGTGGGGACAGAGGGATGGAGAGAGGGAGTGATGGAGGGATGCGGGGACAGAGGGATGGAGAGAGGTAGGGATGGAGGGGGGGAGGTGGGGACAGAGGGATGGAGAGAGGGAGTGATGGAGGGATGCAGGGACAGAGGGATGGAGAGAGGCAGGGATGGAGGCAGGGAGGCAGGGATGGAGGGATGCAGGGACAGAGGGATGGAGAGAGGCAGGGATGGAGAGGTGGGTCATGGCTGCAGGAGCCCATGGTGCTGGGGAGCCCAATCCTGAGGGGTCTGGTTGACACCCATGCCCAGGCAGCTCCGCCAAGAGCAGACTTTTTCAAAGCCTTGTAATACAGACACTCAGCTGCTGCTTTGGCTGCTGTCTGTCACCAAACAAAATACTCTCCTCATTTAATTATTCTCTGGTGCCACCTAGAAGTGAGCTGACATAGGTGACAGGTGGGAATGGAAATATGAGCCTCAATGATTAGCCCAGTGCTCGTTTAGAAACACTAATTGTGCCAGGGTGGTGTTGGTTTGTTCCTGCCCTGTGTGGTGTGTATCCACACACCCAGTCAAGAGGCTCAGACACCCCAGCCACTGCAAACCAGGCAGCAGGGTAAAGCCTGGCTTTGCCGAGACCAGCACCCCAGAAAGCCTCCTGCTGGGGCTCACACACCCAGGTGGGCTCTGTCCTGCAGGACAAAGCAAAAATGCCAGCCCATCACGCCTGCACGGATAGTGGCAATACCACCCAGGCAAGCACTAAAGGCCTTCGGAAAATTAACTCCCTGGAAGCAGGTAAGAAGATCTTCAAACACACAAAAAAGAAAAGGTGCAAACCTAAGAATTTGAGAGGGGGTGGGACCACCTCTGCCTTTGCCCAGCACTGTGACCTGGCCCGGAGTCAAGCTGAACATCCAGCTGGAGGCCTCCTGCTACAGCAAGGCAAGCCTTTAAAGTTTAGCTTCCTTTCACCCATCATGATAAAACACATACCTTTAAGTGCAAAGTGCAGCAGGACAACAAGACTAGCCATTAGCAATTGCATTTCCTACAGCCAGCCTTCAACAATATCAGGTTTCTGCTGTTATCTCTTGCCCGGAAAGTCTAAAGACTCCCCTGTGAAATGTCTCACCTATTTTAGAAGCAGAAGATCCCTGTGCCCAATGTGTGACTTGTGTCACACAGTCAGCCTTTAGCACTTCAAAACATTTCAGATCATCTGCACAATATTGAACTTTGATGGAGTAAGGGGAGGGGAAATTTTTTTCCTTATGTTTTACTTTTGGTGTTGCTAAAGCACTTTCATGTCCTGATTTTCAGAGTCACTTGATTACTGATGAAAGATGCACCATATGATCCAACCGTATGACCCAGCCTTTGAAGGCAGGGAGCTGTGGCCCTCGTGGCTGTAACTTGGGGCTGCAACTCATTACAGCATCTTGCAAAAAGCCCTGATTTCTTGGGCATGTTACCAGGGCTTTCTTCTCCCCAGCCCCGACCTGCTGCCCAGCCGCCCTCACCCGGGAGGGCTGTGGGAGCTGGAAGGGGCTGAGCTCCAGCTCGGCTCACATACAGCCAAAGAGGCTTGGTAAGCTCCAATAAAAGAAATCTGCAGTGCTCCCTAAGGTTTTGCAGATGGCATAGCCCAGCAGCACACAAAGGTGGTCTATCATGGCTGGTAAGTCATGTGGTACCTCCAGCTTGTGTCTCACACATAGCCTCCAGGCTATTAGAATCATAGACACGTTATGGCTGGAAGAAACCTTTATGATCATGAAGTCCAGTCATTAACCTAGCACTGCCAAGTCCACCACTAAACCATAGAATCATCTAGGTTAGAAGGGATCTTTAAGATCATTGAGTCCCACCATCAACCTAACACTACCAAAACCACCACTAAACCATGTCCCTCAGCACCATGTCTACACATCTTTTGAATACCTCCAGGGATGGGGATTCAACCACTTCCCTGGGCAACCTGTTCCAATATTTGATAAGCCCTTTGGTGAAGAAATTTTTCCTAATATCCATCCTAAAACTCCCCTGGTGCAACTTGAGGACATTTCCATTATTAATTATGAAACGTATTGTTTTAAACAGTAGCTTTGCTCCTGGGAAATACAGACTGCCTGCCTTCTGGGCCCACTCACTCATCTGCACTGTCAACCCATCCCGGAGACAAGGGCTGGGGCAGAAGGAGCTATCAGGACAGAGGGAGCTATCGGGGTGAAACACAGGCACTGGCAGTGGGGAGACAGTGGGTTGACCTGCTCACCTCGCCCCAGCAGGACAAGGTGACCCCGAGAGAGGTGCTGCTCGCCCCATGGGATGGGGAGGAGAGCGGCTGTGATGGGTTTCACAACCAGCTCCATCCATGCCTCTTTGGTGGCCGCTTTGGTGGCGGCCTGGAGCCTCTGCTCGGGAGCAGCCCAGCACAGGCTCCCTCTCACCCCCAGCTTTACTGCAGCATGTTCACCTACAGAAAGGTCACATCAGTCCTCAGCAAAAAGCCCTGTCGTGGCCAGTAGCTGAGGCAGGGAGTATCCTGGCCAAGGCCAAGGAGTCTGCAGTAAAAAAAAAAGAAAAAATAACATCCCAAAGCAGCAAACTGAAGCATCTCTGAGCCATAACCCTGTGCCCCAGAGAGCACTCAGCAGACCGGACACGCTGGAGACATTGTGCAGAGCTGCACTGGTTTCGCTCTGATCGGATGAGGATGACGTTGGTTTTTTGCAATTTATGATAACAGCATTTTGCAAGCACGATGGAAATGTGTGGTAAACCCCAGGCGAACTGGGGCAGCCTGTGCACACAAACCGTGCAACATGGGGTTTCAGCAGAGTCAGGCTCAGGGTTTAACTCTGCTGTGCCTGTCCCCTCTGCTGCTGGGGACAAGGGGGGCCCTGCCACCCCTGCCCAGCCATGCCTTGCCTCCTCTGGAGCCAGCACCTGGCTTTTGGTTATGCTGCTGTCCATGAAGGTGACCTGTGGTGGGGGTGGCCCCAGTCCCATGAGCACACGGCTGTGGCTCGACAGTGGGCAAAACCCCGCAGCCAGGCCTGTGGGCACCATGTGCCCTGGAGCAGCACAACAAGGCAAAGGGCACACTCACAAGCCGGGGAGAACCTCACAGAGGGTGAGCAAAACAATGCAAAAAAAAATCAATTTGCTTTGACAGAGTGTCCTTACTGCCTGTGAACTGGTTTGGATCAATAAAATCCTTACAGCATTGTAGCAAACTGCCCATTTCTCCCATTAGTTTGCTTTGCTCAGAACCTGACATTTATGTATCCATCACATCCACTTTCCTCATTCCAAAAATACACATTGTACCTGGACCAATTGAGGACACCTGCACTGGCATGGGTAGCAGCTGCATGTCCTGCCCTCGCTCCAGCTGCTGAGAGACTTGTCTGAAAGACAAGTAAGATGCCAGCATTTTGAAAAAGTAGTAATAGAATCATAGAATGTTTGGAGTCAGAACGGACCTTCAAAGATCATCTCATTCCAACCCCCTTGCCATGGGCAGCAACACCTCCCACCAGACCAGGTTGCTCAAAGCCCCATCCAGCCTGGTCTTGAACACCTCCAGGGATGAGGCATCCCCAGCTTCTCTGGGCAACCTGTTCAGGTGTCTCATCACTCTCATTGTAAAAAAATTATTCCTAATATCCAATCTAAACCTACCCTCTTCCAGTTTAAAACCATTGCCCCTTGTCCTGTCACTACAGGCCTTGTCAAAAGGTCCCGCTCCATCTTTCTTGTAAGTGGAATATATATAGTGACAGACCACACTAAGGTCTCCCCAGAGCCTTCTCCTCTCCAGGCTGAACAGTAAACAGGAT